CAATCAAGGACAGAAAATATTTGTTTCCTATTTGAGTAATAATAGATGAGGGTCCCCACAAATCAGCATGTACAGACTCCAGAATAGAAGTAGTCTCATGCTTTCCAGTATTAAAGTGAAGTCTATGTTGTTTACCAAATATACAGTAATCACAAAAAGGAATTTTTAAAACATTATCTTTTCCAAAAACACCCATTTTATTCAAAATATGCAGACCTCTTTCACTCACATGTGCCAGCCTGTTGTGCCATTTTAAGGTGGCATCAACTCTAGCAATTAAGGACTCAACAGTATGACTTGAAACTATTTCAGCTCTAGTGACATATATACCATTTCTTTTGGCACCCTTGAATATTACAAGGGAGCCTTTAAAAACTTTTAACAAACTATTTCCAAGTTTAGCTTGGAGACCAATGTCATCTAGATTACCCATAGAAATTAAATTTTTATTTAAATCAGGAACATACCTTACTCTTTCTTGGGTAAAGATATATCCATTTTCAAATTTTAAAGTCACACTGCCAATTTCTAAGACTTTACAAGCTGCATTATTACCCATTACTACCTCACCTCCATTCATTTCTTTAAAATTTTCTAAACAGGACCCTTTAGAAGTCATATGGAAAGTGCAACCAGAGTCAAGAATCAATTCTTGATTCTGGTCTATATTTTCAGAAAAATTTACAGTATGCTGATCAGTAACATGTTCAGTAACAACATAGACATCCACAGTTTTATCATCTAGGGATTCAACAACATTTCCCTCATCTATTTTCTTATCTCTCTGTTCATTCTTTTTCTTAAAGTAATCCTTAATAAAGTGACTAGATTTCCCACATCCATAACATTTCCTATTCCCAGTCCCAGTCCTAGACTTTGACCTAGGTCTTCCTCTCCCTTTCTTCTTGTTATTATTATTTCCTTGATAACTCTGATTATCCTGACTATGGTTTTGCCTATTAAGTGACTTCTTTCTAACAAATAAACTCTCAGAATCTCTTCCATGCTTCTCAGTTTTAAGTTCCAAATCCTTGCTCCTTAAAGAGTTAATAACAACTTCAGGAGTCAAAGAATCCCTGCCATATTTAATGGCACTTTTGACATCGTTATACATTTCAGGTAATGAATTTAGAAGAATCACAGCCTTGTATTCATCAGACACTTTGTCTCCCACATTGGTATTATCTTGAACCAATTTATTAAAAATGTCAAAGTTATCTTCTAAGTCTTTAGTCATGTCAATCTTAAAACTAAAGAATCTTTCTAAGAGAAACAGTTTATTTGGTAGGGACTTAACTAAATAAAGTTCTTCTAGTTTTTCCCACAAATCTCTAGCACTATCATGTTTCCCAACTTTTTTCAAAACTTGATCAGATAGATGCAATATAATAGAGGTATAGGCAAGTTCATCACATTCAGTTTTTTTGTGCTTCAGTCATAGTATTAGGAAAATCACCAGTTATGGCTTTTGCAACTTTCTGTTGAACAATGACTCCTTTCATTTTTTGTTGCCAAATGGGGAAATCCCCTTTTCCATTAAAAATTCCAAGTTCAAACGTAGTTGTTGTCATTTGGAATGTTTAACCAACACAAGAAAATTTATTTTGAAGTTCAAAGTTCAACAGAAAAGGAGGTGGTGCAGAATAAAATGTGATAATACACAAGATCACAGAGGTTATTATGTACCAAGAAGCTTCAAGAATCAAGAAAATATTAACACACACAGTGTTCAAAATAACAAGAAATGGCAATGTACTCAATGCAACAAACTTCAAGTTCCAAATGCACAAATTCACCAGGATTCCATAAGGATCATGTCCTTAGGTCAAGGCACAATGTGGGTCATCAGAACCGGGAGCAGGAAAGGGATAATATGAATATATCAGATAGAATCAATAAACGAATGTAATAAATTTTTTTTTAACTACATACGTATATTAGTATACTTCAGAAATATCAACTTAGTAATTCACCAATTTACAGTAATCACAATATGTATATTTCAGAAATATCAACTCAATAATTCACTAATTTACAGTAATCATAGTATGTAAAACATATATGGCTGTGAAGTATGGATTAAATTTTAATAGGGGGAAAAATAGTCGCAAACCAGATGAGTGATCCTTCAATATTGATCACACAAACTAGTGACCAAGAAAACCTCAAGAACAGTATGGGTCACTCAAGTGGCGAACCATCAGTTCGCGAAAACAGGACCTGCAAGTGAAAAACGAGAACTCCACAAGAAATCAATTGTTAGTACACATTAAGTACTGAAGGGATTTTAAAAAATATATATATCGAACGAATAAGATATTTTCATATCTGATTGTGAAAATGAATTTTTCACAACCAGATCACCGTCGAAGGAAGCCTTGAAGGCTCTGATACCACTGTTATAATAAAACTCAAGAAATACACCAAGTATTTTCAGATCTCACATTGAGAGAAAAAAGGCCAAGAAACTGGACCAACCAACTACACAGTTCAATCAATGTTTGGGCTCAGAAATTATCATTGTACCCTTCTGTACAATGGTAGAGACACCAAGAACAGACCCAAACCCACAAAAGGAACCCTAACGCAGGTACTTCAACGAGCCAAAATGAAAATCGCTAAACTAACTCCACTAACTCCTTTAGAAATGAATCACTAAGATTTACTGTTCACACAGAAAGAATCAATTTCCAAATCATAGAGAACTTGGAAGAAAAACACGAAGAAGACGGAGTAGAGAGGTAGAGAGAAGGACTCGTTCTAGAGAGTTCAAGAGTCACCAGAAAATATCACACCGTCAACTAGGGCATCCACCAAAGGTCCCTTATACTGAAGACAACATCATCGTAGATCAGCTGGGTGATCCAATGGCTCGGAGTAGCACACGGGGCCTCATGTTGGGCTCGAGTAGTTGGGCCTCTACCTTTGAATTATCAGGCAATGGAAATATAATACCGGCTATTGGACTAAGCCCTTTTCATCACAGCCCATTGATTGGATTTTGGCATCACAATCCAAACACAAATGTTTGTTTCTTTGCCTCAAGAAGATGATGATATGATTTTGGTTAGCGAATTAAAACTTGGGCAATTTGTATACGTGCAAAAGTTGGAGAAGGCTACTTCAGTTCCGTGATCTTAATAGTTAATATGTTGTCCATTAGAAAATTATCCTTTGTTATACCTGTATTACTAATAGCACTTTATATAAATCTCTTACTGTTGACACTACTGTTCTCCGTGGAATTTATCCTTCCTCGAACTTGCACATATAATTTAGTGAACTTTTGCATCCTTACATTAAGAATTACATTGATTTTCTTTTCCAACCCTGTCTGTGTCCCTCTCTTTTAGTCCATGGGTCTTCCAACTAGTGGAACCTTGCAAATAGCATTGATTAGTTTGATCATTATTTTGCTGTATAGATTGCTCTATCAATATTTGTGAAATCAACCTTTGTGGTGCTTATTCTAATCATTAGACACATAAGGTTTATTACGATTGCAATATCAAGATTTTCAGTGCCTAGCCACCAGTATTACTAATATATGGTCCTATTCTTAGTCCATATCCATTTCTCTATCTTGTTTTCTTACTCTCGTTGGGTCTATTATACTCTTGAACCGACATTCAAGGCGAACAATTTGAGGGAGCGGTGGTTGTTTGCCAAACAGAGAACTAGGTGACTCAAAACCACAATATGTTGTCACTGAATTGACTAAGAAGAATTTCTGGAGAATATTTGATGTAACTCTCTTGAATTTTGTCACATTTTGAGTGTTTGTCACTTTTTTCTGACGCTTTTTTGAATCTATATAACTTTTTTAATTTCTGTCACTTTTTTGAATTCGTCGCTCTTTTTAAATTTCTATTACTTTTTAGAATTGTTGTCAATTTTTTTTATTATGTCATTTTTTATTTGAATTTTTATCACTTTTTTTCGTGTTTGTCCTTTTTCAGTCATTTTCTTGAAATTTCTATCACTTTTTAATAAAAATTTGACACTAAATTTTAAAAGTGACATTGTGTTACACATTTTTTATAAAAAAGTGACATTATGTATTAAAAAGTGATACTTAATTTTACACGGTATTTTTCACTTTCAAAAGACTTTTCATATGACTTTTCAAAAGGTAAATAATTTTAAGACTATTTTTTTAAGTTTCCATAGGTATTTTGCAATGAAAAGAAAGACCCAATTCCCACTTGATCCAGACCGCAAATAATTCTACTGCACTCGGTAAAATTTGGGGATGAAAATGTCTGGATTTGAAGGTTAGGAATAAAATATGCAAATCTCCCTATAAAAATTGCCGTTAGAAGTTAAAAGAAAAGGCCAAAACTATGTAAAGATAACACGTTATATAAAACATACAGGAGCAGTAGCTTACGTACAAAAATCTTATTTTCTTCAATCTGACTGAAACCGTCCAAGGTTCACACTTACAGATCCTTCCAATTATTCTCTGTGGACTTGTACAAATGCATGCAATGTACTAGGATTAATTGATGACACAACCTCGGACTAATCTGATATTTGTTTATTAAATGTAACGTTACAAGGATGAAGTAAATTAATAAATCTCATCTTTTTGTAATTAGAAAAATAATCAAAATACATATACTTTCTAGCACTAATCTTATCAATCAGTATTCAGTCATCAATGTAGGTGCAAACTGGATTGTCCCCGGAGATAATCTGGGAGATTAAGAGATGGATAGATCTCAGCAGAAATCAAGTCGCTTGAATGAGTAGAGGTGGAGCCTTAACTTCTAGGTTGTCGATCAATTTAATATTTGACATGCATAATGCTTTGGAAAGTACTACGTAATTCAAATTTTTTGGTAGAATAATTATTGATTTTATAAAATATTACGAGAAAGTACCGTACATAGCATTGAGGTAGCATAAATTGATATCTAAAGCTTCAGTAATTATTGAAATATATATGATCTTGAAAAACAAGCACAGCAAGTTTTTGAGATCATTGGTGTTGGTCACTAATTAACAAGTTTGTGTCCCGCCCCAGAGCTTGGACCAGAGTTCTTAATTCCTCCAAGTGTTTGATCAGCGTTGATGAATTTGTGGCCTTCACCAGGACTGGGTCCGGCCTTGACAGCCTTCAGAGACAACCAGTTCAATACTGACCCGCCAATGTCTCCCGTGGCCGTGGGTTTCAGAGGACGAGCTTCGGCTGCAAAGAAAGCTGAGCTGAAGATGAGGATCAGGAACAAGAATCTGAAAGATTTTAGCTCTTCAGCCATCCCTAAAATCAGCAGTGAACGAGTTTAGAGAGAAAGAGAGTTTATGTGAAAATGAAATATTGCAAGTTATATAATTTTGTTCAACACGGGAGGATCTGATGACTTATTTATAGTATTAAGAGGAAGGGCAAAGTAGTTGGATTTGACATAAATATGCAGCATTTCTATTTTTAGGACACGACCATGCATGCAATACTATTGTTTGAATTCAACTGCGATTTTAAACGATACTCTCTCTCTCTCTCTCTCACTAAAAATTTCCAAGTGTAATGGCAACATTAGAAAAGCCTGGGGCAGGCGGGATAGGTAAAAAATATTAAATAAATTAAAGTGAAAACTAAAATTTTGAGATGAATGGACTGATTCTCAGGCGAACCAATAACTTGCTGTAAACGATTTTCATTTTTTCGATTTTTACGTACAAGAAGAGCAATAATCAAATTTTCCTAGTGATTGGCCGATTTGGTTCAATTTTTAAAATATCATAGCTAATTAGACTAATACCTAGCTATGTGTTTTTTTTTTCCCTGTCTTGTATTATATGCAAATCAAATTAATTATCATTGAAACCAGAAAAGCAATTGGAGAAAAAAATAATTTTAAATTATTTTTCATGGAAGCTTTTAAACATTAGATATGTTTGATTTTACAACCAAACCACATTGATCGAAAATGATTGACATGCAACCTGACTGAAAACTCACAATAGGAGGGGTCCAACTTTTTTTTGGAGTTTTTAATGAATGCGAGTCCCTCACGCATTGTAAATGTAGGTCAATGTTTCTGTTATGCATCTTCTGTCAACTTAGATTAATTCTTAATTTTATCCATCACGGGTTTGTTTTGACAATAAAACAGATATGCAGGCTATAATAAAATAATAATAAACTTTATTGATAAATAGGTACCACTTAGAATACTTCATAATATCTAATTTATCTTTCATTTTGTTTCCTCCTCGTTTATCATGTGTAATATTCATCTTCTATTCACGTGTACATTATTTATCAAATTTCATTATTAGGATCATTTTTATTCCCATGCATTATGTTATATTTTCAGTCTATAAATATATGTTTGAATGATTAGATTATATGTTGGATTCAATTATATATATGTATATATACAATGTTTGTACTACTTGAAATCTTTTAGTGAGAGATGATTTGTAGTTGCACAAAATTTAGTTAGTCGTCCCATATCAGCGTAGTGAAAAGATGTCTCATATGTAGTTGCACAAACCAGAGTTATTGGATTAGTTTCGTCGAAAACCAATTCCAGACCTCTAGTTTCAACAGGAAGCCAAAGAACCTGATCTAGTTTCCTTGAACCCAGACTAAATCTCTGGTCTCCCAACAAAACCAGAGTTCAGATCTTCATTTTCCGATGAAACAAAGAACTTGATTTGGTTTTGTGCGAAACCAGACCAATGTTCTAGACTGGTTCTATGAGGGATGGATTGTTGCCACGATGGTCTTAAGGGAATATTAAGTGACACACTTTGACCTCTAGGTTGGTAAGCGGGATGCTTTTCGGATGTCAGTCTTGCCTAATCGTTGTCCTATAAATTGTATAGGCTGACTCCTACTCATTGCAAGCCCAAAAACATAAGATTGACAACTGGGTGAAAAGTTTAAGGAACCATATTGTCGGGCTGTAGTGTGGCGGTAGGAGTAAACATTGTTCGATTTGGACGGTTTGTAACAAATTTTCAAGCTAAAGCATTTAAGTGATTTGGAATTTTTTTTTCAAACCAAACCAAATCACTTTAATTTCTAAATCAAACCAATTCAAACCATTTTTTCAATTTGATTCGGTTTAAAACCATAGTTTTACAAAGAAAAAATAACATTTATCGATTAATTTAAATTATAAATATTAGCCTAAAATTTTACATTAAAATATGAATAGTGTCATTAGAAATATTTCAAATCAAAGTTCTATAATTATAATCATTATAATACAACGACATGAAGGGAATAGTTTAATTTCTTAGTCGATACTAATTGGCATAACATCTACAATTGTAGCACATGATTCATTTTCTCCATAACAATAAGAATATTGTACATGAATTCATTAATTATAGGTAAATGATATAAAGCAACTAAAAAAGGAAAATGAATATATATTGACGAATCACTATAGCTTCCTTAGTACCATGCAACCAATTTTTAGGACAAACCATTACTTCAACCACATTTATATTCAATGATCTCCTAAATAAATTAAGAATCCGACTACTAATAGGGAATGTAGACTCGGAAACAATTGTGGATATTTGAATAACTAATAAATTTTTAGTAATTAGAGGGGATAGTCTTGTATTTATTTGTATTGAGTTTCACCAAAGCAATATGTCAAAGGACTCATTGATCAAATCTTAAAATGACCATTTAAGTAATTCAATAAATTAATCTAGCAATTAACAATAAAATCTAGAATTTACGTTAAAATGTAAATAATTAATTGATTGACCTAACCTAACCTAACAATTGAGATGCAAGCAAATAAAAAATTATATCCACTAAAAATTGAAGGGAATCTGGCACAAATTAGAACAAAACAAAACAACTACTAAGAAAATATAACAAACAATTATAAATAAAAAAAAGGATAATTTGAGATGAAAATTTGGCCAAAATTTATGAAAATTATTAGTAGAAAGAAAGAAATGTGTGAGTTTGAATTAAAATCTAGATTTAATTGTCTATTCGATTATAATGGGTGGTTAATGAATATGATATAACAACAATTGTTCAAAACTTCACTCAATGTGAGAGTTTTGCATTCACTGTTGTGATATTAGGATGGTAAATTTTTCAATTAGGTATTGGGGTTTAATTGGATTATGTCTATTATGGAAGTATCTTTTTAACTGGGATATGCTTAGTTTTAATTAAGTTCAATAAAATTTAAATTAATTTATTTTCATTTTTTTTAAACGATTTGACGATTTGAAACGTTTTGTAAATATTGAAACAAAAATCAAACCACTTCGAAGTGGTTTGATTTAAGTCAAAAGCAAAAAGTTAGCGGATCCACATGGATCCAAACCAACAATTTTGAAAAAGTGGTTTCAATTCGATTTTACGGTGTGACGATTTTGTTATTCAGCCATTTGTGGACGTGGCAAGGTGGGAGGTGGTATGTGGAGAAAAAGATCTACTAATTTTTTATTTAAAATTTTCTATTCAAATTTTCTTTTTCTTTTTTCCTTCCATTTATCTCTTTTTAATCATTTTAATTTTTAAAATCAAATAATAATACTATGGACTGAACATTTTGCTCCTGTAAATTGGTCAATATATGACTTATGAGAGACAATTGATTATTAATTTGTGGATAGAAATCGTTCAAAGGACCTTGCCATGTACACTAATTTAAAGGTTAAAACTTAACAACACTTTTGAAAAAGGTTGGGGATCCCTGATGCAGTATATCCTAATTACTTTATGAACGACGAATTATATTTTGATGATTAATTAAAAATAGAATGAATAATGATGTCACTATTGAATATTTGAAGAAGTCTCATATTGAAAAACATTCAATAGGCCGGTTGAACGTTGACATGGTCCGAGACTTGGCTGTTTGAATGTTGTCGTTATTTCATTAATGTGCTGATGTTGGTTATAACTTGGTGAAGCCTCCAGATATTATCCATTCACACCAGGGTACGACTCTGCGCACATGTTGCGAAGAACGATCATCACCTCTTTTAAATTTTATTTATTTTTTATTTTTTAATATAAGAATAATTATGACGTTCCGTTCATTTAAAAGATATAAAGATTTCATTCGCCCACCATTGATTAATGTCCCATTTCACAATTTTAAAGGGTCTCTTTAGCTATGAAAAATTGTTTAATACTTTATCTTTTTTGTTGCACTTTAGTTTTATTATATTTTCATTTATTTAAAAATATGATGGACAAATAAATTTTTTGGACAAAAACATTTACCAGAAATGAAATATGCTAATTATGGAAATTTGCAAATATTTATGGGAATAAAAATTTGAATTAATTTTTTATTCGGGTGGATCCCACACCCCATGTAAGAGGAGTGTACACGTTTAGGTATATCCCTATGTACCACCACTACCACCGTAAAATTTTGCAACACTGAGTTCTACAATAAACAAAGAATAAAGGCATTAAGTACAACTGAAATGTAAATATAAATTGTGTTACAAATATAATTGTCCATACTTTAAACTACTTTTTTTAACATAAAAAGACGAAAAGAAAGTCATTTCAAAGTTCAAACGTGGAAAGCAAGAAGTTTTAATTGACTCGAGTGTGTGTCTGTTCACATGAAGCAGAAAGTTTATAAAGAGATAAGTCATTTAAGACTTCAAACTAAGCTCATGTTCGGTCCTATTTTCTAAAATTATTTTTTTTCTAAAGTCGCATATTTTATGTGATCAATAATTTTTATCAACTTTTTAATAACACGTTTCGTTAATTTTTTACTAAAATTTACGAAAAGAAATCTGATTTTTAGCAAAACAAAATAAAAGTTTAGTCGGAAACATGAAGTATTAATTGAACGAAGCGTGTATAAATCTGCCTTCTATTCACATGGAGAAGAAGGTTTATAAATAGCAAAGCCATTTCAGAGTTCAAACTAAGCTTTATTTGGCCCTATTTCATAAAATTCATTTTTAATTAATCATTTCACGAAACTCATAATTTTTATCAATTTTTCGTTGACGCGTTTCATCAACTTTTACTCAAATTTACTAAAAATATGATTTTAGCAAAATCAAAATGGGGCTCAGTCAAAGCATGGATTTTTAGTTGACTAAAGCATGTATAATCTGCTATCTATTCACATGGAGCAGAAGGTCTAGAAGGAGAAAATTAAGTCGTTTCAAAGTTAATCGAAGCATCAAGTTTTAATTGACTAAACTGTGTATAAAAATTAACTTTTAAAATACAAAATGAATTTAAGGCGATCCCACTCTCTATTCATATTATATAATTAAATTGCAA